ATGAAATATAATGGATTAATTAATTATTCGATCCTTTTGTAAGGATCATTCAATATCCATCAGTTGGAGTAATTTGTCGATTTTCGTCGTATCACGTCAGTCGTGAAACAAGCTATAATCGTTGAGAGATCTAATCATGGTTTCGTTCAGTATTGAGAGTCATACATCAGTCTATCGTTTTACGTCATGTGTTTTCTGTATTCTATCCCCCTTTTTCTTCTTTATTTTTCTCTATCTCTCTCTAAACCAACCCATCGATCTCATCTGGGTCATGTCAGAGTCGTGATTCTGGCATACGACAGAAAAGAGAGAAAGAGAATGAGAGAGAGGGGTGAGAAACCATCGTTGGATTGACAATGGGTGCTTTAGGATTTCGCTTGATATTCTTCTTGTTTTTTTTTCCCCCTTTTGTCGTTTCGTCCTTTCCGTGGTCTCGACCGTCGCTCGATTTTACGGCGAATCAGTATGAATACAGAAATGAAAGGGGAAAAAAAAAATAATAGAAAAGCAAAAAGATTAAAAAGAGACAATTTTCTAATATTTTTCGAAAAATTATATCCTTTGAAAGAAAAATAATAGACGTTTAGATAGATAGAGAGAGAGAGAGAAAGAGAGGTATATTATTATTCGATTGAAAAATTAATACGAGAGTTATTAGTATATTTTTTTCTCATCGTGAGAACTCATACGAAGTATTTAAACTATCGTTTTATAGTTCCATTCGGTCTCATTTCAAATGGCATAAGTTTACGTATATTAATAAAAAATAAGTGGAAAAAACAGATGTGTGCAGATCACACACGGTAGAAGTGAAACCTTTAAAGAAAATCAAGCTTCGAAATAATTGAATTGTAATACAGTGCCATCTATTGAAAAAAACCTTACAGAACCTAGATAACCTAGCTCTAAATAAAAATCTTTAAATTAGTAATAAAAAATAATACAAAATAAAAAAAAAAATCGCGATAAAAATTGTGCTATCTGTTAAGTTAGAAAAAATCACCCTGATTCTAAAAAAGTTTTCACTTGAAAAAGTAAAAGTTCACATAACCAGAAGAGAGACAAGTGATTATATTTTTTTTAATTTTTTTTTATTGTCGACGTAATTCTAACAATTTTCGTACGTACTTAAGAAACACAAATGATAATTAGTTCTTGGTGTTGACGAAACGTTAGAAAGCATTAGCAGAAGAATACAATATAATGGGAAAAGAAGTATAATACGAGTGGTATCATATGAGAGAAGTTACGCTTTTACCGGCGTGTATTTCGTTTCAAGTATTTTTTTTCTTCTTGTTGTTGTTTTCTCTCCCTCTCTCTCTCTCTCTCTCTCTCTTTCTTTCTTTTCTTCCTTCTTTTTCCCGGGTAACATTTTGTTGTTTCCTTTTTCTCTTTACTTCTTTCGCACACACAATAGCTCGACCTTTTCAACACGGGGGCAAACCAATTTCATTAATTACTCCAGCCGCGAGAAAATGCATTTGGCGTTGGTATTCGAAGGGGATATGTTGCGATGGTGTTGGGTTCTATTCCTACTGTTACCGAAAAAAGAAAAAAAAAAAACAACAACAACAAAAACACAAAATCATAAAAAATGAATAAAGGAAAAAGGTAACCATGGGAAACGACACGCTTGAAGGAAATGAGTTACACGTCGGGTTCGATAAACATTTTCATTTCACGGGCCTATTTGATGAACTTTTCTGTTACTCTTTCTTTTTCTTTCCTTTCCTTTAGTTTCGTTTCGTTTCGTTTCGTTCCGTTTCGTTCCGTTTCGTTAGATACCTTTTTTCTAAATGTTTTAACACGCCTTTACAAACATGCACAAGTCCTTTTGACATATTCGTTTGACTCATTTTTAAATGGCAAAAAGAAAGATAGAAAGAAAGAGAGAGAGAGAGAGAGGAATGCATTTATTTGTATACGTAAAATTTCGAATGGCTCTTTGTACTTCTGACTGTAAAACTGACATACTACGGCGAGAGGGTTTGCCTTGTAATTATACAATATGCATTTCAAAGTTTGTATTTTTTTTTCTCAAACTATGTCATACGATCGTAGTTTTAATAGAGAGGAAGTATAACGTTATCGCAGAATCTTATTCGAGTTCATTTTTCATGTTTGTAAATTCTAAATAATAACTGTAATAATAATAATAATAATAATAATAATCCTTAATGGTTATAGAAGTCGTTCGAACGATTAGAAGTTCCCCTTTATTATAATAAATGAAGGGGGAAAAAAGTAGAAATAGACATTTTCGTACTCTCATTTTCTATCATCTGCATAGAATTGTAAAGCGGAGACACACGTATAAAATGGTCTTGCGGAAAACGAGCGAATCCTAACTGCGATTTCTAACAACGTGGCCATCAACGTGTTCGTACGGACAATGCTCTTACGATTGTTCGAAATCGTTCTCGTTGCTGACTCTATATGCAAAAAACCCTTTTTACACACATTTATATACATGTACAATTTGTGAAACTAAACTTGTCGAGACTATATCCGAGCCATTTGGCGATGATCGTCTGATCATATCAAAAGTATTATTGTAATAATACTCGTTCGTCCCATGAAATTTATGATTATTATTCCATCGGCGTCTCGGAGATGACTATTACTCCGAGAGAAAGAAAAAGAGGAGGATGATGATGACGTGAATTGTCTCGCAGGATGATTTTCCCTCATTGATCAAACGTTCAGAACAAACGAGAGGTCCAGTCGTTAACGCTAATTAGCATGCCGATTATCGACGGTTCACCTGCTCTCACAAAATGTACACACACACACACACACACACACATACATACACATATCCGACCAATTGTTTCCTCGAATTATATGCTGATATTTCAACGAAATTTTCAATTTTCCAAATTTATTATTCCTCGTTCCTATACAACACATTAGTTCCACGATTTTAACTACTATTTTAACCATTCATTTTCTTTCCCTGTGTTATATCACCATACCGTTCTTTTGTATCTCTCCGGTTAAATAAATATTTCTTCTCGATAATTTAACTACGAAATACGACGTGTATGTATTTTTTGTTTTGTTTTGTTTCCCTCTCGATTACTATGTAAATGAAATGAAATGAAGTTTTATTACTTTAATCAAAACAGAGATAGAGAGAATAAAAATTACTTTCTTTTTTTTTTTTTTTGTTCATATTCGTTACTTATTATTATTATTATCGTCATAATTGTAAAAAAGTATGGACATTTTATATGCATTACTAAAATCAATTCATTTTAATTAGATCGTCAAAATACGATAATAATATTTTATAATTGCTTTTTTTTTTTTTTCTTGTTCAATTTGATCATTATGTTTTCTAACGTGGTATTCATTACAAGTTGAAATTTTCCACTTATTTTCCCTCAACCCCTAATGTCAACAATAAACCAAGTGTTTTATATTCCAACTGATGACGTATCCAACAACCCCCTACTCAGCAAGACGCATACGTGAATTTTAATTAGATCCTATTATCAATAATTACGCGTACGCATTAGCATAAAAGTTTCGTGATCCATTGTTTTAGCACGACACGCTGTCTCGGTTATCATAGTTGTTATATTTTTATTTATGCTCGATGCTTGGTATATCAAACTAGGCCGATAGTTTAGAATGTAAGAAGAAAACAACTCATATATTCATTTACAATGCAAATGATGTAATATTCATTCTAATTAAATTGATACCGATTCAAATAAATTCAGAGAACATTTTGAAAAAAAGAAATAGGACTAAATATGAGAAAAATCTTTAACCCTTTCGCAAAAGTGTGCACGGTAAAATGCTCGAGTAAAATTAACAACGGCCGCATTTATGCTTCACGGCAACCAGAGTTGGTTTGACGGTGTTTATTGAAAAAAATACCCCACAAATTAAATTATTTATAACATTTAAACATATTAACTTTTTATTAAACTTGATTTGAAGCAGGTGACTCTAATCATTCGTCATATTATGTATTATACAATGTACAATGCGTGGAATTTTATGCATAATGAATATAGTCGCCCGTAGTATGTGAGTGGCATTTTATGGAGAGCGACTATAGTCGCCCGTAGTGACGAAAGGGTTAATCCTGGATAAAAAAAAAAGGAAAATCGAATGTTAGTAAAAGATGATAGAACTATCGTAGATGGTGCAGTCAGGTGTTCGGTTTAAGCCAAGAAAAATATCGTGTGGGAATCCAGAGTAATGGAAGTCATACGTCTCTACAATTTATTGGAATATCAATGTGCTTCTAGTACCACAGTTGGGAGATGCTAACACTATTGCCAGAAACGTGGACCACGTATCTCAACGTTGAAATAGAATACGTATATCAATGTAGATTTGGTTCCGTTAGATCTGTGAAAATTTGATTATTCTAAGAAATGAATATAAATAAATAAATAAGTCGATTAATTTAGTAAAATTGTTGATAATATTTGTCAGATAGTTTAACTTAATGTGTTAGAGTTAAAAAATATGAAATACAAATCTTTACAAATGCGTACAATTCAACTGGGTTATACAGAATTTGACAAACTTTAATAAAAAAAAAAAAAAAAATAAAAAACAGTTCAAATGAATCATCCATCTTTCTTGCGATCGATCAAAAATACATATGTTCGATTACGATATATATGATGGTGGTCTATAGTTCAACGTTGGAAACGATTTAATCGATAGAAGGTATATTTTGTTGTTGTTGTTTGCGTCGGACAGTTTGTCATAAGTAACTCGATCTTTTCGATGGCTTTTACATTGGAAGAAAAACGTCGGTCATTTTTCCAACGAATCGTAAAAGAAGGAATTTAAAATATTTCATTCAATCATTTTTTTTTTCTAAAAAAAAAAAAAAAAAGAGACTTGACCGATCTACTAATCGATCGGGATGAGAAGATAGAGAGGAAAAAAATATGAAACCAAAAAAAAAAAATACAAAAACGTGAGAGAATATCTTTGATAAAGTGACTTCTTTTTTTTTTTCTCCTGACCTTGTCTCTGATTTCCTGTCGCATCTTTTCTCGTTCTTCCTCCATTTTACGGTGTTTCTCTTTCCTCCTCTCCTCAGCTTCCCTGATGGCTTCTTGCCTTTCCCTCTCGGCCTCCTCCTCCTTTTCCTTATCGTCATCGTCTCCTCCTTCGCCACCGACCGCTCCTAAAAAACGACAAAATAAATTATCAATGATTTGCCTTTTTTATTTATTTATTTATTTATTTATTTCATTTTCAATTTTATTTAAAACAAATCTTTCTACGTAAAATCTTTAACTTATTCGTAAATTCCGTTTAAGACTTTAAGAAGTTTATTTGTATGTGAATACAGAAACGCGTTAATCGATGCACATTCAAAGGTAAATTACAGATAATGGTCCTTATATTTTATTCATCGTTCGTACTATACGGTATTGCTTCCTACGGTTTTGGTAAGCCACAAGTATCTTAGTTACAGTTAATAGATGAACTACGAAATGATAGTATCTCTAGGGAGTCGATAAATGGTCCTGGTTACCATCAACGCCATCATCCTCCAAACCACTTTCCTTCAAATTAATTATCCTCCTATCTTTTATTACTTTTTCCTTTTTTATTATCTCAACAGTAATATATATTTTTGACTTATCATTAAAGCAATGAAATCATTTGTTTGAATAATTCGAATCACATTTGTTAAATTCGTACATATTTAGTAATTTCATTGCCAACATACGTAAGAAGGAAGCAAATTGTTTGCATTTCCGTGTGCAAACACCGACTGCTGCTTTGAGTCAAGGTAATGTATATGTTTGTTTGTATGTGTGTGTGTGTACATGTGTATGTTTTTGGTTAAATAAATAATGTACCTATATGTTGAGTATAATAACAACGTAAACATAATACCGTCTACAGTCAATACGTTTTGATTCGTTATTAAATGTAACTACTGTCGGTGATATCACAGATACTTTTTTTCATTTCATATGACGTTATTTGTACTTTTCATTATCAAACTTTGTCATGGGTATTCATTCATTCATACAACAAAATTAATTTTTATTTCAATGGAAGATTGTATTTATAAAATATCAAGAATGAGACGAGTCCATATCATTTATTTAATAATTATAAAAATGCGCGCCTGTACAGATGCAACCCTCTGTTGATGCGTCCCAACTGGGACGGAATTATTTTTAAGCCTAAACTGTTTATGCACGCATGTATTACGGGTTGCCTAACTTTCGGACAGAAACCAAAATTCCGTCCTGCGATATAGCACTCGTAAGCAACATTTTCAAGTTTGTCTGGAGGGTTGCATTTTTATAGGCGTAATATATTTTTTTAAATAATAATACAAATTTAAGTGTAATTTTTTGTTTCATCGAGTTTGTTTGTTTTGTTTATCTATACCTGTCGTATTTTCATTGCATCCGTTTTTAAATCATTCTTGTTCTAAAGAAATTTGTACTTGAAAAAGAAATAACGGAGAGAACATTATCTCGTGGTAATATTGAGAGAACGGGGAAATAAGGAAGACTGGAAAAAGAGATATCGAAGAGTAAAGAAGTAGTAGAAGAAGAAGAAGGAGAAGAAGAAGAAGAGAAAGCAAAAGGGTTCTTTTTCCCTTCCCTTCCCTTCTTCTTCATCGTCTGGCGGAGAAGGATGTGCCAGAAGCCCGAAGGCTCGAGGAAATTAATACTACTTCTGTCTCGGCAACGTCTTCTATCTCTCTCTCTCTCTCTCTCTCTCTCTTTCTCTTTCTCTCTTTCTCTTTTCTTTTTTCTCTCTTTCCGCTTTTGCGGTTCTCGACGTTCCTTCTATTTGCACTCGTTCTTTATATTTTGCAGCACCGCAGTACTTTGATGTCCAAACCTAGGCACAACCATTTTCGCTCGACTTGCTTTTTGGCTTCTCTTACTTCTATCTTTTTCCCTTTCACCCTTCCCCCTATCCCTTCCACCCTTCTCTCTTCTCTTCTCTTTTCTTTTCTTTTCTTTTCTTATCATCGTCGACTGCACTCGACGAGTTGTCCCAGCTTTAAACGATATCTCTCACGTAGGTCTTGCATTTTTGACAAGGACCTTTAATCCCTGACCAACCTTATGAGAACACGTTTCATTTATTTTTTAAATATTTATTTCATTGCAAATTTGTACGTGACTCTGACGATAATGTTACAAATCTTTTCGAAAAGTTGAAAATCTATAGAAAAATGAAATAAGATTTGATCTACTTTTGATAGTAAGTAGTCAAAGAATATTAATAGTCAGACACAGATGACCGACGAATAAGAACGTCGCAGTGCGACGGAAATGCGGCCCCCGTTGGCTACGAAAAGGAGGACGAGCTTGGTTTTTCAGGGTGCACACTTGCTTGCACATTTCTCTTTCTCTTTATACGAAAAGAGAAAAATCAAGTGGTATGAGAATGAGAGAAAGAAATAAAGAAAGAAAGTAAAAAGAATAGGGCGGTCGAGTTTTTCAAGAAAATTTCTCGATCGAGTCAGTAATGTGACCCATCTGGTGTAGTAGTGGTGGTGGTGGTGGTGGTGGTTGGGCTGTCATGGTTCCATGCTGTCGCACATTCGATAGGACGATAATGGCCGTGGTCCAAGAACAATCGTCCTTTATTTGTAAAAGAGGTAAAAAAGTAAAACACACAAAGCGACTAGTTCGCACGGATATTATCGAAAATCTACAAGGAGACAAATTTTCATGTTAAACCCCATGAATACGTTTTAACTTTATATTTATTATCCTCAATAAAATCATCATTTTCTAAATGAATTATTTATTAATTAATTCTATTCGAATATAAATGTGACAAAGTTATTTGTGTTGTATTAGAAATTTTTACACACTTTTTGGTGATTCTATACAACAAAAACAAAATATGAAGTATAGTAAAATTGATGTTGTCTATCTAGTAAGAAAATAGAATTTTAAACAAAATATTAATATAAAACGAATTTTTTAAACTTAAGGATAAGAAAAAGAAAAAGATGAAGGGATAAAGGGAATAACCTTTTTTTTCCCCCAGCCCATCTTGTTAGAATAAATTCGAACGAATTTATATCCATAATCTCATTTGTAGAAATAATGTAAAATACAACGTATCTCTTTTTCTACGATTAATTACGTATAATGCTAATTGGAATAATCCAGGAAGCAGTAGCAGCAGCAGCAGCTGCTGGTTCGATGTTAAGAGCTCGAAAAGTCAATCCTAAAAGAAACGAAAGGAAACGAAACGAAATAAAGAAGAAAAGAAAGAAAGAAAGAAAGAAAGAGAATGAAATAAATGAGCGACATAGATAAGGATGAAAATCGTAGTAGTATTTTCTCGTAAAAGGATTGAGGCTTGTGAGAGCCAATGAGGAAGAATTACTTACGATTTTCATCTATCTTTCGAGTCCTTTTCCTTTATCCTTTATATATTTCTTTCTTTTTTACTTCATGGTGAACTATTAAAAATCGTGGTAGAATCGTTTCTCGTTTGTAAAAAGAATTAAGAACGTTTTGTGATCCTTTGACCATCTGTGTTGATTTAAATGGACAGAAAAAATACTCTTCCAAAGGATCTATCAAATATTTTTTTTTTTTTTATTATTCTCCAGCAAATTGCTAGCTCACCATGGCAAGTGAACGATTTATTTTTTTGCATAGTTTAAATTTCCTTTCATCTAAGTTGCAATCAAATAAAATCGTACGATCAAACAAATCGAATCGATTTTCTTTTCTACGTACGAGAAAATAAAGTCTGTCTCGTTATTGTGATCACGTAGTGTCCATGAAAACCCATGACTTGATCACCCTCCCTATCTTCTATCGCCAATTTCTTTTACCCATTTTATTTCTTTCTCTTTTTTTTCTTGTTGTTGTCGCAAATTATCCTTAAGGAAAGAAAGTATTTTAGTTAATCATATAAAAATACTTAATCGTGATTTGAAAATAGTATTTTGTATGTTTAATGAATAAACAGAAAAGAGTGTCCTTGTTTTGGGAGGTTGCAATATATTTGAATAAAAAAAAAAAAGAAAGATAAACGAATATTCCGCAATGCGGAAAATGTCGTGCAATTTTTAAATAATTTACATACACACACACAATTCACATAGACGCGCGTGCTTCCAGTTGTTTTCAAATATTCCAATGGAATGTTATAATTAAATTATCAAATAGGAAATGAGTTTAATTAATGTTGCCCTACGAATTTCGATATCTCGTTCAGTTATTTAAAATACCTACGTGATGCACTCTTATCGTCGATTAATATTTGCCAAGGTACGAATAAAAAATAGAAAAAGAAAATCTCGAAGAATCTGATCTTCGGTTTCTCATTTTTTTATGAAACGATATGAAAAAATTCTATTGGAACGTTAACTTGCATAAAAAGAGAAAGAGAGATAGAAAAAAATGTTGCTTTTTTTTTTTTTTCTTATTTCAATTCTCTTTTTTTGCCGTGTGCAAAACTTTTGGTAAAATTCATCGCGTGGACACCAAGGGGTGGTGATACGTTCGAGAATTTGAATTCCTTGCATTCCACTTTTTTATTTGACAGTATGAAATTCCACCTGAGGTCGTGTCCGAGGTAGGTTCTTTCCTCTTCTACATTTTTGCTTTTTTTTTTCTTTTTATTTTTTCATCAGAAGACCCTTTCAAGTCTAAACTTTTATTTCATCCAAACTTGTCTACTTTTTTTCACCAGACTGTAGAAAAAAAAAAAAGAATAAACCAGTTTCCAAGTATGCACGAAGAGTTTTTCTTTTTCAACGAGAGGAGGACAAAAAAATTGTTAAGGAAGAGTTGTCCCAACTTTTTCCATATGGATAGAGTTTAGAAAAAGAAAAAAATCAAACTGATGGGGTACGTACACCTTAGAGAACACCTTAGAGAACTGTAAAAAGGACAAAAAAATCGTACGACTTTTTAAATATCAAATAATAGTTTCGTGAAACGTTTGTGCAGAATTTCTAAACTTTGTGACTTTTGTGAAAATATTTAAGAAATAAGAAGAAAATTTATTGTGTGTGTGAAATCGTAAAAGAAAAATGATGAAAACGAAACGATCATTCCTCGACACGAGAAAGTATTGTTTTCTATTTATTTATTTCTTTGACTTTTTGATTCATATTATTTCTTAGACGTTTGTTTCGAAAATAACAAAACACAGGTGTAGGTAATG